GCCAGTTAGCCATGCGCCATAGACAACCCTTGCATTTTTTTTCGTTGAGTTTTGTTTGTCTCAGAGTTTGCACGTCACACGTCCATTTTTGTATATCATGTAATGAACAACATTTCTCAAGCTGCGTTGATGCAATTCTGTCACGATAGGTCAATTGACATTTGCACCCATTTATACTGGATTGCGCTAAATGTAGACAATACCTCCACGCGTGGACTGCCTTGGCCACGGTGATCGCATATATTCTTATGGGCAGCTTCAACCACGTGCAAGCGCACGTGCGAACACTGCATGCCTGACTAGTTTGTCTTGAATAGGTAGATTACTATAACAATACGTCATAGGTCCAGCATGATCATGACATCACAGGAAAAAGGTTATAGAGTGATCCTGTAAGCCCCACCCATAATCTTTTGACTATACACGGCTGTGGTTTGTTTGGCATACGTGCACAAAAGTCCAACCTGTGCAGGCGTGCATTACGCATGCGGCTGCAACATGCATCCTGGCACTGGAGCGCAGAAGCATGTGTCAATTGACCACGTGTGTGGTGGGCGGAGCTAACTGAGTTTCACCTCGAAACTTGAGAATGGGTGCAACTGGTGAGGGTAAAAAGAATAGCGTACATTGCAAGGATTTTCAAGAAGCTTGCGATAACATTGAACTCATTTGTAGCATAAAAAATTAGTATCCTTTTTAAGGGTCCATTGTGACGAAATAGAAACTGACCCGTAAAGTTGTCCGTAAACAGTAGAAAGAAACCGAAGATGTGATTGCTGCGGAAAAGGAACAGTTCTGATTAGTTGAAACCATTAGAAGATTCCATTCACAGATAGGGAGGGCCAGTATTGTTGAACAGTGTTCCCATTTCGCTAATCACGGATTGTTTCAGAGTTATTGTCCATTACAACTGACCAATTAAATTTCATTTAAGTTTCCCTACAGATTTGTCTCTGTGTAGTTAGCACATGTGTTTGTTTCAGCTGATTTCTTTTTTTTTTTTTTGCTATTCTTACTTGTTATGTTCACCATTGCCAGCGCCAGTACTCTTTATTTTCCATAAACAAACAGGGCAGTTTGGGAAATTTTGGAATGTTATGTTCCAGTGATGTTGATATTTTGGGAATTGGGTTCTGGCAGAACTTTGGAAAATTTGGCTCATTTATAGCACAATCCCAATAATCATCCGTCGCTGAAAATGACAACTTAAAAAATGACAACTTAAAAAATGACAACTTAAAAAATGACAACTTAAAAAATGACAACTTGTGTCTTTTTTAAGCGAGGGGAATAATGGGGGTAAACATATTTCAGGAAGGAAAACTAAAAAAGGGTTCTTTTTTCTCTCGCTATGTTAACTCTGAGCTAAATTTTTGATGATGATTTCCTTGACGGTTTCTCTTGGACCCAAATGCCTCTGAAGCTGTCTCTTAAAGAGAAGGGGAAAACACTGCGCGGACATGTGGGAGTCCACAGGACGCCATCTATTCTATATTATGTGTATTTTTTGGTGCAGAGGTCCAGACCACGTATGCCGTGCATTATTGTGCATCAGCACTTCCACCTTCACTATACAGAACCGTGCTTTGTCGGTAAACGGGGCAAAGGTCTCTGTCGGGTGGGGGGACCTACCCTGGACAGTCTTTCACAGAAACACCCCCCCCCCCTCCAATCCGCTACTACACGTTAAATGCACACTACTTTATCATTCCAAGTGCAGCAGAGCTAATTTCGCGCGTTCCCCCGTTTCCTTCCCGTCTCCACGCAACTCTTTCCAAAGCTGTTTATTCTTTGACACCTCTACCGGGTATTACTCAGCTTCAAATTACCCACGCTGCCGCTCTGTTCCTTTGATATGCACTCGCTAATTATCCCATCTACTGCGCATTATCTGCAGCTTCTAATAGGCAATGTGTTATTGATTTGAACAGCTGCCAGGGCTGGGTAATAAAAAACAATCCACATTATTTAGATAAAAAAAGTGTGGTTTTGAATATATTTCCTGTTCGTTGGGACGTTCAGGCCAAGTCCCCCCGGCCACAGTACTGTTACTGCATTCACTTCTGCCCCTGTCGCACCGTGCAGTGGGTGCCGCGGAGCAAATTTGTCCACAAGTTTTCAATATGCAGTGATTTAATCCCAGCCAAGTGAATGGAACACCATTTTTTGTGTTACAGTTTTAGCGAACAAGTTTCTGCTACTGCCGTTCCTCTTCTTGCTGACAGTTTTTTTTATTTGTCCAAGAATAACTTAAGACGTCATTTTAATCACGTTTCCGTCCATGGGCCGTCTTCCTGTCCTGGAGTGCTCCGGCCACGCTGACGGAGGACCAGCCCTCGAACAGAACCATCCCTTCATCGCGTATCGGTTAAAAAGGGCCGCATTGGTCGGGAGTGTTCAATTTGTTGGTAGCCATACGACCGAGACGAACATTTCCTTGTCGTTCGTAGACCAGGGAAGTGCAGTTCCGACCAAAGGAGCCGCCATGGTAAAGAACATAGCGCCCTCTCTTGGTCCAGTTCGAGGCCCATAGGGCGCGGGAAACTCTTTCCATAACCTTTTTGCAATCTGCAAAGAATTTTTAGGGAAAAAAACTTGTATTTTGCCTTTTTGCGTACAGTGGACAAACCCTTTAGTGCCTCCAGAAAATCATGGGCTTTAATCCCTGCAAATTTTATCCAAAACCTGAACCGACATCCTCGTATGGGGGAAAAGTCTAGTACATGTACATGTATATTGAATGATTTTTACCACATGGTGCATGTACAGACCTGAAGAACGTTTCCTAATCCACAAAATTTGAAGTTTAACCCTAACCCCCAGGGCGTGTGTAAAATCATATTGAAACCGGGCGAATTAAAACTGTCGGGGTTTATGCCACTTACATTGACCGATTTCTTTTTGCGATGGCCCTCCGGAAAGGTAAAGTGTCTATCTTGCCTTTAATATGTTTGGTAATGAGCATTTTAAATTTTAAGAAAATGAGGATGGAGTGTAACGCGCATTATGTTTTTTCGATTTAAAAATGATGGAGCTCTTCCCCACAAAAGGGGTACTTGGGACAGCCGTGTCTCCTTCCAATAATTATTCTCACTTACGAACCAAGCACTTGCAGCTAGAAGGGAGGCAACGCGGAGTCGACGACATGTAGCACAAATTGACCGATTGAAAAGACACTAAAACATGACATTCTGAAAAATCAGAATTATTTTTTTCTTAAAGAATATACTGCTTTGCAGGCAAATGCAACCTAATGGCAAGCCGGGGAATTCGGGCAAGGAATTTTAAAGCCTTTCCTGTAATGCATTTATAAGCCCCTACCCATCATGGGCAGCTTTTATCGTGTCCATTAATAGTTTAACCCGGGACCTTTTTGGGTTGGCAAATTGAGCAAGGTACGAGACAGAAGCGTGTTGTTAGACGAATGCCCATAAACGCAGTTTGGCCACTGATGTCACACTGTAAAACAGTGTTTGATTTTGTTTCTGTCTTCCCTGAGTCCGTCCCTTGGTCCTTCCTTCCCTGGTTGCGTGGGAGCCACGGCCTCCAACAAAGGAGTACATGTCCATGTTTTTGAAAGGTAAAGACAGAAAGGTGATTTCTATTTTTGGAATAGTTTATTCCCCTCCCCTAGCGTGCACAAAGCCCCTAAATTTAGCCTCACCCCTCAGAAAAGGCCACAATCGGTTACATTAAGAAATTTACAAATTGTGTGCTCCGTCCCAAAAGATTGGTTCTGGATCTGCCTTTGGTTCGTTGAGTTGCTTGATGTTGTTCGTTAGCGTGTCTTGTTTTGTTTGGTCCCTTTTTGGTGAAGCATGCCTTTAGAAGAAGCGCGTATTGCACCAACCAACAAAACCGACAATCTTTGTTGCGGGGGGGGGCGATCTTTGTGTGGGCGGGACCCTGCCGTCTGTATGCTTAGCAATGTTCACTCGTCTCCCTGCCTTGCTACGTCTCGGCAACATGTATTCATCTTATCATCCGACATAA